TTTAAGCCGGTGCTTAAAAAACAAAACCAGCTGAAAAGAGGAAAACTTCTCACCTCCATGAACTTCCTTCTGTCACGTCGACCAAATCACGACTCGCATAATACCGAGTAAACACAAGAACACATAGTGTTCATTCCTCCTCAACTGCGGCACAACATTGCTACATACGGACCTGGCTTCTAGGGCAAAGGACTTTCCACCTAGGACGCGGACCATGTAGCCTTCAATCAGTTTGCACAACGGCCGAACGACGCTGCAGTCGAAGATGTGCCCCAAGGACTCAATCGCCCCACCTCAGCGCACACAGTTTGGCGTAACTGCCAAGCCCGCTGCATAGAGCTTTTTGCCAACCCAGAGGGTCTTCCGCAACACCAGCCAGGTGAGTGATGCCTCGTCATTATTGAGAGACCACCACCCGGACGACGCTCATCCCTTAGGATATCTCGAGCCCCCCCCGACACCTCATATAATGCCTTAGGAGACAACAGTCGGGTATCGGAGAGGCCTTCCTTAACCCGTGTGAAGTCTTTCAGAGCGCGTCGACACTCGCGATAGAAGGAGCACTCGGCTCGAGGAATACGGCGGGCCTTGGGTTTGGACGAAAAAAAGGGCTAACAATATGTGGAGCGATTTGTTCAAGTACTCCCTGGCTAGAGGGAGTAGCAAACCATAGATATAAAATTATTCCCCATGTTTTTCGATGCTAATCCGATGCCTAATCCGATGCTCATGAGGTACGATTTTGGAGTCCACCATATTGGCCAGTCGTCCAGTTTCTCGCCTGCTGCTGGACTTAAATATGCGAGATCACGGGTTGTGAAGGTCAAGGTCGTTTTTCTAAGGAGCATCTATTGGCGGCCGCGACAGTTTAATAATGGTTTGGTCAACAAAAGAGTAGAGGTTTATCCTTTGTTCTTTCTTTAGGATTGGGTTTCCGGTAAATTCTAAAGTATTTTTATTCTCTTTTACTCCCAGTAGCCCCTTGCATCTTAACGGCATTATCCCCTTGCTTAGGGTAAACTGATTAAAAAATCCAGCCGATATCATCACACTGCCGCTTCATTGCTGCATTTTTTTAGCCATATCTGCATAGGATAAAATCCATCCTTTGGCCCATCTATTAGGTCCATCGAGCGTCACCCGAAATTTCCCCGTGAAAATTACTTTAGTAAAATCAATTTTCATATATTTCTTGGCCCAATTTTGACGTTTTTAAATATTTGCTTTACCGAGAAAGAGTTTGCCTAGTTGATTTCTTGATAGATCTCAATTTACGAACTATTCTACACATTTCTACACCTTTTATTCTTCTCGACTCCCTCAATTCCAGCCTCTTGAAAGATCTGAGCACAGGTCAAAAGGGGTTGTTTCATTATAACGCTTTAGTTAACATTCCCTTCAAGGAGTCAAGTTCTTAAAGCTTTTCCCTTTGATTCTAGTTCTCAACTTACTTATATTTTCAACAGTCATCCTATTTTTCAGCATTTTTAGATTCTTTCCATTACCTGTGTTTCAACATATAATATAGAAAAAATTGTTTTTATTAGCTTCCAAAGGACTTAAACTAACATTAGTTTAATTTGCATAATAACATCCGACAACAGTTTTTTTTTTAAAATAAAACGAATAACTTTAATAAAACAAGTTGAAATTACTTAAAGATTTAACTCAAGCTTTAATCATTTAAAATTTGACAAAAGTTGTTCAAAGTCAATACGAGTCATTGAGGTGTAAGTAATTTGCCTAATTTAACTTCAGATGGACTGTAGACAAAAATATATCGACAGGTATTTCTCATGTAAAATTTCTATATTTGTCCATTCCTCGATCTATTGATTTTTATATGACTTTCTATTCACTTCTCTCGCTCTCTTGTTTTATCGAGATATCACCAAAATGAGTGCACATTTTAAATAATAAAGGGAAAAAACGCTACACCCGTTCCTAAAAAAATACCAAAAATTACAGAATTATCTGATTTAAATGAAATTTTCAGCATTCATCAATGAATGAATTTTATGTTGTATAGATTTTTAGAGACCTTTTATCGGAAGTATTTTTTAGAGATCAGTTTTATCCTCTTTTCGATATATTTATATACTTTCGAGGTGATGTTCGCGATAACTTTTTTACAGTTATATAAAGAAAATCCCTGAATATATTATTTCAGTAAAAAAAACATTATGCAATTACAAGTGTGAACATACTGAAAATGCGTCCCGAACCTTATCCGAAATAATTCAATAAGATTTGTAAAATATTTTTTTTGAGATTTGGCTTTTGCATAATTTATTAAAATAGATTGTTTTATTTCAGATTTCACAGGATAAAAAAATTTAAACAATATTTATTTTAAAAAAATACTTAATTTCTTAATTAATTTCTCAATGCGATTTTGAAATTCATCCATTTACTTTCTAGCCACAAGAGATTTTTTTATTAAATAGTTGCTTACTTTTGCTTAGCTGCATATAAACCTCTGTGGGTTATTTAATGCCGAAATTTCAATATACTGAGTGCAATTTTATGGCTTCAACTCCAGTTATTTTAGGTACCTTCATGAAAATCGATAGCATGATAAGAACGGCTTGAAACTTGATGAAAAAATTTTTTTCCTCTTTCATTTTTTAAGAAGACAATACTTGTCTCTGGACTAGGAGTCTCTATGTGACTTTTTTTTATTGCATTCATGATACTCCCGGCCTTCCGTAGATTTGAATTACAGGCACATGGACACAAATTATATTTTTTTTATATACTGTTGTTCGTTAGTTTGTAAGAAGCTTTAGAAATTATAATCTGTAAATATATGTCTACTTAATAACAACATTGACTAAATTGTACAAATTTTTCACTAATTTTAGAAGAATTAACAAAATTTAATGTAAAAGTAATAAAATATTTTCAGAAATAACAAATTGTTTTAAAAATTCATTTTTCATCGAAAAATCTTTTTGCTTTCTGACTATATTATCAATATTCATTAAAACAAATAAAAACAATTAAAAGCATTTGAAATTAAATAATATCTTTGTTTTATTGAGTTTTGTATGATACAATTCAGAGATGATTTTCAGGTAGAGTTGGTCCAACAAAATAATCCGATTTTCTCAAAGTCTTGTGCTTTTTGTCCAAATTTGAAATTATAGAGTTTTTTTTACAATTAGTTATGGGTGGGAGTAATACATATAAAAAATATTTTGCCATGACTTTAAAAAAAGGAAAACATATTTATAAGTTCCATCATTTGTGAATAGTTTCTGAAAGTTTCATTAAAATCCAACAAATATTTTTATTTTTGCAAGATTTTCCAAATTAATGTCTGTCATACAGAAAAAAAAAAAAACGCGCTACGATTTTATGTTATTAAAGTAGTTCCACTGGACACGAAGAGAAACAAGGTTTTTTTAAATCAAAATTTAGTATGTTCTAAAATAAAAAGAAGGAAAACTTTAAAAAATAATTTAAAAATACTTTGTTCTTTTCTCTTAATAATAACATAAACATTTAGACGATAAAATTTTAGATCATGCTATGCTCATTTTTTAGCGATTTCATGGAGTCTCCTAAGTTATTTTGTACATAATTTGATACCTTCTGTTGTATGTTTTTTTAGGTATATAGTGTGTAGATGATAATATGTGTTGTTGGTAATTTTACTATAAAAATATATTTTTTATACTTTAGATTGATTGTCATTTTTCTATAAAAATGTTTTAAAACTGGTCATTTTACCTTAAAAATGTATTACTACTGGTTATTTTGCTTATGAATTTATTGCTGTTATTTTTACCGTAATGAATTTTTATACTTACTTAGTGAACCACCAACAAAGATCAAAACACTATTTTCTCATGAGATCGTTCCGGTTCAGTCAACAGGGTCAGCAACGGGAGGACTTTAACTAACACAAAAGTCAATTACCCATTTCAGGGAGGGTTGGTAAAGCAAGAACTAGGAGCAGCTTATAGTTGCCAATCCTTGAAACCCGAGGAGGAATAACAGCAACAAGGAGGAGAGGCCAATGAGGCGGCAAGAAATTGCCAATACTTGTCTCTGGACTAGGAGTCTCCTCCCCATGGGACAGTGCTTTCAAAGAAAGATCTGTGGGGGCAAATGTCGATAAACGAACTTCTAAAAGGAGCCCCAAAATGCATTGGGTATGTGAAGGAGGGTTAAATCATGGTTTACCAGGGCACACTAGAAGCAATAGAGCCAAGAACAATATCTTTGGTGGCAATCGACACCAAGGGTTGAAAATTAGCTAACGCTACACAAAAGACAGTTGCTGTCTATCCTAAAAGTGGTCAATATATATATATTATTACGACCCCCCCTCTCCTTCTTTTCTCTAACCTCATCGATAGCGAAGGTAGAGGAGGATCGTAATCTGTGTTATTTTGTTTTTTAACATTTTACTTTTTTTTTCGTAAAATATATTTCTTTCCCAAGGGTGTCTTTCCGATTGATCAGACACGGCCGAGCGGAATCGATTAAGGAACAAACACGATAGGCGACAAACAGCAATGGAGACAGGAAATATAAATTTATTAACAAACATGGAATCGTGGAAAAGATTAAAATAAAAAAAAACAAAAAACGCTAAAACAAAAATGACAATATGTCAAGAATAAACATTTAAACATTGCGGACAAAATAGTGGGAGGAGAGTATCCTCTAAGAAAGGTAAAATAAAAATCAATGTATGGCCTTGTGCCATACACCCACGAATTTACAGAACATGTGCTATACCTGCACGGATTCACAAGACATCAAAATTTTAAGACAAGTGGACAGAAACATGTAATAAAAGATCTCATGCTAAATTTGCATGAAAGTACAAACATTAAAAAGAGGTACATTTAAACAAAAAACTGAGAACAAGAAAAACGACAAACTTAACACGGAATAAAGTCCTTTTCCACTAATAATGTCTCTTATTATTACTACTTCTTTTCTTTTTCCTTTTCTATTTCTTTTTATAAGGGTCTCCTTTTGAGGTCTTTTCTTACTTCCTCTCTTTCACTTTTCGTCGTCTAGGGGCTTGGCTGACGATTAAGCATAAAATGCGCTCCCTCTCTCTTTCGTCTTGGTATAACAGCATTTTCGCTCGAGATGGTCTGTTCTTTCTTTCTTTTCCCTCTCGTGCTTTGTTTAAGGGCTTCGTGACAGTTGAAACTGCTTTCTTTCTCTTCGATATAGCGGCGTTCCGCATGCGTCGTCAAACGGGTCTATCCATTCCACTCGGAGACCAATTCTCCTCACAATTTTGCGAACACATATTTTCGGCCCATATGCCGAGACATTTGCCAGACGTCCTACCGGCCTGCAGGCCTAGGCCAAAACTAACTTTTCCGTTTCACTATTCGTTTCCGTTTTCTTCTTGTCACGTGGTCAATTTTCAAAATACTAAATTTTCCCATTATGGGTGGAATGAGGTCATCGACCTCTCTCTCATTTTCAGGGTCAGAGAAAGTTTAGTTTAAAGTGTTTCAACTTCTCCCAACCTTAATCTATCCGTTCTGTCAACACCTTGACCAAAAGAGAAGGAAAGGGTACACTCTGGTCAATCCTTGTCGCCACTAATCTACCTATCTCTTTGGGTTTACTATCTTTACATTTTCTGTAAGTATTGGGCTCTTTATTTTAGAATGCTTCTAAAATATAAGCAATGGTATATTTTTTATAACAAATTTAGATCGGGGTTCGTAACAATATATATATATATATATACAGGCGTATCTAAGCTACATGAGACCTACTCGTAATCACAGCAGTTCTTACACATTAAGAGGTTTAAAAATTGTACCTGACTTTGTACCTTAACATTTACGGTGTCCCCTCATGGATTGAAGAATATCAGCTAGCAGCCTTCCCCTCGAAGTATGGGCAGCTGGGGGAGCTGATCACAATTGCTGGCAGCAGATGGAAGACCAGGAATTACACCGGAATCGTCTCCATAAAAAGAGTGGGGTTTTCTGCTATACACAATGTGGTTAAGTGTGTGGATTCAAATGGCGGTCAGCGGCAAGAAGCCACTCTGGACACCTGGCAGCAACATGCCCAAGCTCAGCAACCTGGCCCGGAGTACCTGTGAGGTGGGCAGCTACAGAAGTTCAGGTCCCAGTGAATGACACTGCTAACCAAGAGATGTGGACTGAGGTTGTCCCCAAAGTGAAAGCTAAAACGGCTCCAGTTACAACTCCAGTGTCTGAACTAGGGAAGACAACTGAAGAAGAGGAGAAACCGATTCAGCAACCCAGGAAACCAGTTAAGAAGCAGCTACACTCATTGACTGAACCCCCGCGAACACTATTCAAAAAAAAAGAAAAAAAAAAAAAAACGAAAAAGGGAGGAGACGCAAGGAGGACAATAAAAGTGGAATTGAAAACACCCGGAGAAGCAAAATAAAACTGCGTCTTCATCTCTACAAAAGAAAAAAGGGGGAAAGGAGAGTGGATAACATCGCCCCAATGTATCACGGATCGACAAGGGAGTGTGTGCTGTGGAGGGGCGCGTGTTGGAGAAGGACCGTCCAGTACATCTGAAATCAGCTCATCGCTCCCTGTGTCAATTCCAGAGTGTAGGAGGGAAGGATGTGTAGAATCCTGCCACTTTCCCTCAATGTCAGATGTTAATGACATTCCTGAGGAACCCCTCTGGGGTTCAAAGGCTCGGAGGATGCTGCAGCTGAGACACTGAGAGCTCCCTTGTGCAAGAAATGGAAACACAATGCACGGGCAGAACACCAGTACTTGTGCACCCATCCATTTACAGGACCATACAACTGTATTTCCCCTCGACTTGGGTGGAATTAACACCACCCTGGGACGGATCGACAAAGAACTGGCACAGGGCAATGTCGGCCAGACTGACGGGAAGCTCTTGCCGAATTGATGCAGTAGTACCTGCTAAATAAGCATGTGTCTTGGTTAGTTTAAATGTGAAGGGCTTGAGGGACAGAGATAAGGCCGAACGACTGCTTCGAGATCTTGAGTCCTTGAATGTAGATGTGGCTACAATCCAGTGACAGGGACCAGGATCAATAGATCCAAGTCCGTTGGACCGAGGCTGGGAGCGAGAAAAAAGAGGACTCTGCTGGAAACGTTTAAGCGGACAGATAGATCAGTTCGCATCTTAGGAGATCCGATCTACAGCTCGAGAAAAACTGGGAAAACCAAGATTGACAAGATGGTGAATGCATAGCTCCACAAGCGTTTGTCCCTGAAGGGCAGAGCAGAGGCGTGTGTCACTTACATCTACTCTCTGATCCTGTACAGACTTGTCAGTCCTTCACATCACCGTGAAGGAGCTGACCAAATCCCAACAGCTCCTCCCAAAACTGCTCTGAGTGCAAGGACAACCAATTGTGTGCAAGGGAATCTGCATTCCACGTCCATGTCTGCTTTGAATTAATAATTAATTTTTAAAACCAACCTTTCTACACAAGGGATTCACTACAAGCATGAATAAAATTACCAATACGAATTTAAAAAAAAGAATTACACTTAAAATTTGAAATGTTCTAATTTAGTTATCCAAGTGTAGTGGCATTAAAGAGAGTAACAGTAGCAGCTCTAAATAAAACTTATTAGCAGCAGCTCTCGAATATAAAAACTCGTGAACTCTAAAATAACCTTCTTTCCAGGTTTTCCCTCTATCGACATGAACTTTCCACGCTGAAGCTACAAGGGCTGCGAATGCTTCACCATGAAATACACCAACAAAGTAAGTTTCCACTATATATTAATGAACATTTCGTTGTGTATAAAATTTATGTCTAACAAAAGAAACTCTTGTTCTAAACTTTACTTTTGTTAATTTTGTTTTAATAAATGTTATCTTTGCATTATAAATCAATTGATCTGTTATATTGTGAATGTACTCTACACCACGATTATTTTAAGTGTTAGAAAATGTTCCCGTAGGAAACCTTACACATTTAATTATTGAAGTAGCTAATCACCAAACACGGAAAAGAAAGTCGAAAACTGCAATAAAAGACTGTTTCAGTCATTAAACCCTTTATTTACCTATTCTTTTTAAAAACTCTATTTGTTTTTAGTTTGTAAGTCACCGTACGTCATAAAAACTTTGATGTTCGTACAAATGTAATGGTCAGTTTAGTAACATATAGATGATGTTGTTATGATGTTAGCCTTTCGATATTCTATTTTCAATTACGCTCATTTTAAGAAGTCAGCAGCTCAAGTGTTGTGGAAGTGATTTTGAGCGGGTTAGGTGTTCAGATGTTTCGTACCGAGCATAGGCTTGACAACAACTTCATATGTGCGAGAATGATAATAATAAATAAAATAATAATAAAGAAATAAAGCAGTCCATACTACCCCCACAATTGTTGACCTTCGACGCGAGATGAACATGCAGAACTAAAACACTTTCTTGAAACTGAGAGTCAGTCAATTTTTCTTTATCATTTGTATTAAAAATAAAAGCAACCAATACTGAAAACTGCCTTCTTAAAAAAAAGGTGCCATCAAAACGTTCTCTGACAACTTCACCCTTTTCAAATAAAGTTACTCCAACATCTGCAGCAAAACAGTCTAATGTGGCTGCTCAGAAAAATGCCAAGTAACAGCTCTTCATAAAATAACAGTTGTTCAGATTTTACAGATGAAAAGAAAACATCAGGTACACCAAAAACTGCTCCAAAAGGCTCGTCAGAATCTAAAACAATTGCCTTAAATCAAAAAGCAGTAAAGCTATTCCACTACCAAAACTCAGGCCTACCAGCAAGCAAGCGTCTCTGAGTTGGCAAATCCGCCTCCGACTCTGCACCAGCATGCAACCCACTCGGTCTACCCGTTTCATAGAACAGGCCTATCAGCTACACCAATAGCCCATAATCCTCTCCACTACACATGGTTTCGAAACTAGACACAGGTGCATGGCGACCTTGTGGGGGATTTCAGGAATCTCAACGCAAAAACAGTTCGTCACGGGTTTACAGGGAACTACAGTTTTTACAAAACATGCTACCAAATTTCAGTAGCTGAGGAAGACATAAAGAAAACGGCAATTACCACTCATTTCGGGATTTGAGTTCACGAGGATGCCATTTGGCTTATCTAACGCCACCCAAAGTTTTCAGAGACTCAATGACGAAGTTTTGAGAGGATTACCTTTCGTTTATGTATGTATACTATTGTATATGGGCCTGGTGTTCTTTGCTATCACGACTAGCAATAAGAACGTCGTCTGTACATAGTCGAGAGACTAGTACATTTTAATTTAAAGTTCAGCGTAAACAAATATGAGTTTACTGTTTCTAAATTGAACTTCTTGGGCCATGTAATCGACGAAAACGGGATCACGCCTCTCTCAGAAAAAGTAGCAGCAATACAACAATTTCCACAACCAACATCACTGCAATAACTACGAAGATACCTCGGTTTGATTAACTGTTACCGTAGATTTATTCCAGGTTTTTCCAGACTCTTGACCCCGCTCACAAACTTGCTGCAGAAACAAAAAATAAGAAGGCAAAAATAACTATAGAAAGAGAATCATTAACTACATTTCATGACACCAAAAAAGCTCTAACAAATTTCACTAAACTCCCCTTATATCAATGATGATAACACTTACACTGACGAGCGACGCTTCGGCAAATTCAAATGGACAAGCAAGATGGTTTAGAAAAAACAATTTCCTTTTTCTGTGTAAAATTGAACAACGCGCAACAAAAATACCATACCTTCTCGAGGGAGTTACTCGCAGTTTACTTATCTATAAGGCATTTCCGACATCTACTCGAGGGGCGTGATTTAAGGTTTTCACGGATCACAAACCTCTCACTTACGCTTTGCATGTGAAAACAGACAAATATACACTAAGAGATACCCGACAACTGGATTATATATTCCAATTTACTTCGTATATCTTTTATATTGAAGGCCCAGACAATATCTTGGCAGAGACACTCTCGCACTCCACAATACAATCTCTAACCACAGAGGAACAACAAAAACAGGCCACATTAAACAGAGTAAAAGAGGACACTATATCAATAAGTGAAGCACAAACAAATAAGAGACGATATTCAGTCACACCCCACCCACGAGGGTGTCATGTGGCACAAGGCCTTTTTAACGTGGGCATTCCGAGCCCGTGGGCTCGGCTAAAAAAATATGCCCATTGAACCCGTATAAACGGGTTCAGCGCCGGTTTTACCTCCCCGAAGGTGGAAAATTATTCTAATGCAATTCTTTAAAACTACCTGTTTTATATACAGGGTTATACTTCTCTATCACTGGCTATCCAACAAATGTATCAACATATTAATTCAATTTAATGTTAGCACAGCACATTCTGACAGTAGGAAAATAAAACAATAATTACAACTGTGTTTTAGTAGCAACTGTATCTGAATTCGTTATTCATACCCTTCTTATCGCTACCCACTGACTTTAGCACACGATTCAGTCATTATCCGCTTAATTGCACTGACAAACGAAATATTCCT